GGTTCCTTCCACTCTAACCATTCTATGGTTCTATGAAATGTAAATGGAGATCAAGCCCAAGCATGGGACCTGAGCCTCTGCCTTATGTGTGCCTAATGGCAACATCTCATGACATCCAATAAGCTCTACCCTGCACCTCTCATGGCACAGACGGAGCCCTGTAAGAGCTTACTGGCCCTGGTACAAGCCCTTGGCCCTGGGCGCCGTGCAGCCCTCAGGGAGGGCAGCCTCTCCCGGCTGTGCATCCAGCAGGGCTGAAGTTTTGCTCTTCCTTCGTGGTGTTTGCTGAAAATTCTGCACCGAAACTGTCCTCATTCCAGACCCAGCGACACTCACTGCTTTCAAACACCGAGCAGAGCTGTTCCACATGCTCCGAGGTGGCAGCAAACCAACAAGGAACAGCTGATACAATTAGATGATGGAAAAATAAGTTCATGGCACTTTGTTTTGGCCTAGAAACCCATTGCACATTAATGCAAATATTCTGTGAGGATTCCGCTGAGCCCGTTCCCCAAAGGGATCTACAGCTGATGGAGCAGTTCCATGCTGTGGGCTCCAAAGGTACGGCAGGTCCTGGGCAAGGCCCCAGGGGCTCTGCACCCCAAGGGCTTGACTTGGAGCTGTAATGGTTTCTCTTTGCAATACAGTGAATTCCTGGCCTTCACACGGGGCTGCTGCGTGGGGACACAATGTGATGGCAACAGCTCTGCAGTCTTTGGGGAAAGGGGAGGCTAGAGACATTATCAGGAAGGTTGGTGCCTCTTTCCTGATGCTTTTATGGAGTTTCTGACAATTGTTTAAGAGATTTAATTTATAAATTTCTCAAGAGAGATTTTTACTTCCCAGAGGACTGAAACATTTTGAGCTCCTTCCACTGAATTATTGGCTCTGGCTGAAGATTAAACCACACAGGTGCCCAGACCATAGTGTTTCCATAAAGGGGATGGACATGGCTGTCAAGCATGGGCCCTGCCGAGGCCCATCTCCACCCACCCGACGAAAGACTACAGCCACAGCTCAGAGCTGGCAGGAGCCCTTCCACCAAAGTGCTGCAATTACAATTGCTCGTGCTAAAGCTCCATTTGGCCTTTTATCTGACCTCCTTTGATCTTTTCCACAACCTCTGGCAGGTCTTCAGTGCATTCAGTTCTTTATATTAAAGCAGTCAATCCCACATGCAACCAATTAGGTTTAGACATAGTTTGGTGACCATAATATTGTACAGACGTTCTACCAAGTTTTCAACAAGAGAGGGTGGCTCCTACATGTCACTTTCTAGTGGGGAGCACGCTGACTGCAGTTCAGAAATATCCCAAGGAGAAAAACATATTCCAGAATTACTGTCCAAGCCCCAACGTCCCACTTGCAGACAACATGCTGGCTTTGTGTACATACAATAGGGACCCAAATGCTGCTGCTCCTCCTCCTTGGGCACAGCATGCAGGGCAAGAATCTCACCAGACCTGTGGGACCAGGTTTGTCATCCAATAACCTCAACCCCTGCCACTGTCATTGTCTGTGACATACACCAAATACGCTTCCCTTATCAGAAACAAGGAGGCAGCAGCACCCGTAAAGTTCTTCAGCTCCATCCGTTTTGCCCAGGTGGGTATTTGTCTTCACTGCCTCTGCACCGAAGGCAGGGCAATGCCCATTGCTTCTCTCTGCCTCCTACGGACACAATGCAGTGTGGCCAGTGTTTATCGTATTGTCTAGAGCTTCTCTTCGGGTAGTCCTCAGTTAGAGATACACCCTCCAGATGTTTGTGGTGCCAAACAGTTCATACTTCGACATGGATGAAAAATAGAACTCTCTTCTGTTCAGATAACCCTGGAACAGCACAACCCTTCCAAAATTCAGCAGAGGCACTTAGAGCATGTCACCACTGTCTCTCTTGAGCTCTGGGAAATGGGCTGTTGACGCTGTTTGTTAAAGTGTCCTGGAACCTGTTCGCCAGGGACTTTGCCCTGTTAGTGACGGAGAAGGAGCACATTTCCTCCTGCGGGTCGTTTCCTCTCAATGGAAGGTGCCGGCGTTGGTGCCTGTGGCTGGTTTGTTTGCTGGTTCCCCTGCTAGGGAGAGCATTTCATAGAATCATATCGTGTCAGGGGCTTGGTGGCAGCAAGAGCAACTTCAAGCCAGTTCTCTCACACCTCGAGAGCTCTTTTCAGAAAAAGTGCTCTCTTCCCACTGCTCGCGCCCTGCCAAGGAGAAAGAGACATCTGTGCAGACCTTCTAGGTCTCGCCATGGCACAGAGGAGTGATAAGAAGCCCATGAGCAGCAGCTTTGCAGACCTTGGCTCTGGTGCTGGACTACTTGTAGAGTTTTTGCGTTACAGCAAAAGGTCTGGATAACGTGGCAATAGGAACTCTAATGAACTTCAGATGGAAAATTATTTCATGGAGTAGCTTTCCTTCAAAAATGTCATTCTGTCACAATCAAAATGTTTTGTGAAACTATTTTTTACCAACTTTTTTTTTGAGAAAAAAAAGCCAATTATTTTTGGAATAAAACATTTAGATTTTTTACTTTATGTAATATATGCGTTTTTAAAAGTTGTAATGATCTAAATAAGCCAAAACTATTTATTTTTTTGTGGAATTTTCCTTTGTGGAGAATTTCAACATTTTGAGGTTTTGTTCTGAATTGGAATGAAAACAAATTTCAAAATCTCAAAATCGTCTGTGAAACACAATTTCCATTCTCCGGCCAGCTCAAATTTCAGGCTAAAACATGTCTAATAGCTCTCCTGCAGGGAACCCCTTTAGGAAAAATGTCTCTGAATGAATTCATTGGTGCAAACATAGAGTTTTAAAGATTTGACTATTTGTCCAAGCAGACACCTCACTGCTCAAAGTTCCTCCAAGTCACAGGAAGCCTTCACAAGTTCCTGAAGGACTAATTCCTGAAAGGCATGGCCAGATTTGTACGGGTGATGGTGTCATCTCCAGGTTTGATATTAGCCATCCACTTACCGCTGCCACTTATTTGCCATACACCACAGAACTGATAACATAACTACTGTCTTGTCCAACTTCAGTTGGACTGCTTTTAATAGTTTAAATTAGAGATTATGGGCTTTATATTACATTTTCAAGGTAGGTGCTGTCTATTCAGATTAAAATATTCAATAGAATAGAATTTATATTCTAGAATATTTAGATGCATTTAAATATTTACAGCCTTAGCAAATAATTCTGCCTCATAAAAAAATCATCACTTACAAACAAGATGACTTGCACTTTCATGTGTAAAGAACAAAAACCTACTGTAGAGCAAACTAATTATCAGGGACGCTGATGGAGACCTACTGTAAGTGCTGTTTTCAAGTGAGCTACTTTGGATCTACAGTGGCACAAATGAGCTCATAGGCCAATCTGTTCACAGCAGCTTTGTATATCACAAAGGTATGACGCAGCCTAATACTGAAATGAATTAACATAAATAGATTGCAAGTTAATCACACGCTCTATGAAAAACCCCTGCGTGCTGCAGGTTTTTTGCTGCCGTTCTGGTGGTGTTTCACCAGTGGGGAGCTGGGGTGTGCTGGGGTCTCTCCCCTCCCCAGAAAGCACGGGCTCTGGCTCCAGGTGGAAGTTGGACCCAGCACAGACCCCACAGCCACGGCGTGTTTGTAACTCCTGACTCTGCCAGGCCAGTTATGCGGCAGTTTCACTAAACAAACAAGAAAGAAGCAGGTCAATGTCCAAACACTGGAGTGAAGCTTATTTAAGTTGCTTCAGTAGTTGTTGGAGAAGTAAAGCTGCAAGTGAAACAAACTGCCTCTGCAGTAAATAAAAGTGCAGGAAACACAGTGAAAAGCTGGTGCCCAGGTACGACTGAGCTCTCCTTGTCTTTCACCAAGATGCCTTTGAGCAGCTCTGGGCACGGCACAGGGAGCCACTGAGCGCACTGGGTGCATTTGCTGCAGAATCAGCAACATCAATCTTTCAATCCACTGCCTTGTGTTGCTATACTGCAAGGTGTGTGTTAAATCATCACAACAGGAATCGCTCTCTGCAGGACTGCAGAGGGGAAAAGAAACTGAGATTGCTCGGTAAGCCTACCAGGATTGACAAAGAGGAGCGCTGCACGTTGAGCCAGCACCCGTGCGTGTCCCTTCCCCATGGCTCCCTTCAGCAAGGCTTTCTCTGGGACCATCACTCTACTGAGTTACTCGAGCACCTTGTACATCCAAACCTCCACCTTTGCTCCCTGCCTGTGCACCCCTTCATGGGGGTCCCTTTAGAAATGCCGAGAGGCACAGGAGTGCCATTATCCCCCATTTCATACAGGCAACTGAGGCCTGAAGTCAGGAATCTGCCAAATACAGAGACCTAAACACCAGCCCTGCTTGCAGCTCAGCCTCCCCCTTGGTGCTGCCTTCTTGAAAGACCCACTGCTTGTCTGGGTCTGGAGAAGAACATTTCTACACGCCAGCCTTCCAGTCTGCATACCCCTTGCTGAACACAAATGTAAAAATGAGCAGCCAGTCCTCTGAGGCATATCAACACCTACCTATCGGTCATAAACTTGTTATCAGCTCTTATGATGTAACCACAGTCTTTTGACTTAATGTTCCATCTTTCCTTCTATGCTAGAATGTGTGCAAAAAATGCCAATCTGATTAGATACCTAATGTTAATGTCAAACAATCCCTATATAAATTTACTCCCTCCTTGCCTTGTATTGTCCAAGAACCCTGTCAGCCTGCTCCGCGCCAGGATGCTGGCACTGCCAGCGCTGCCGGTCTCACCCCCCAGCCAGCCCACAGCCAGGCAAACCCCGGGAAGGGGCTCTTGCTGCGGGAAGGGGAGAGGAGAAGGTCTCACACAAAGCCAGCTCCCTGCTGGGGAGGACCCGCGGGTAGTTCTCAAGATGCTTGATGGTAATTCACTGGTGTGATATCAGCAAATCCACCAGCTGGAAGCTGGGGCACTTTCCTCAGTGGGAAATTTCAGTCCAGCCATTTTAGAATAATTTATTAATTTTTACTTACATGTTAAGGCTCTTCTCCTTCCAGTACGCCTCTGCTCCTAGGTTTGGAAAAGTTCCCCGTTGATGCTGTGGCCACTCTCTTGCCCTCCCTCAGGATGTCTGAAGGGACCATCGGCAGCGCTTTGTGCTGCTCTTGCTCTGCCCGTAGCAGGGGCTGCCTTCCACAAGAGCAAATGTAGAACAGGGCTGTCTGAAACAAAAATAAACATTTGCAAAATTAGAGCAACCTCACTCATGCAGATTTATCCTAAGGGAGGTGGGCAGAGAATTGGTCCCAGGAAGATGGTGATACAGGAATCCCTGGATTCCCTGACAAAACCTGTCCAAATGAGTTTGCGGTCACTGGAAGAAGCAACGGGCCCTCCCACCGGCTCTTAGAGCAGTGGGGTCATGGCAGGGCTCCCACCCTGGCCCGGGGAGCCCCCCCGGCTGCCACTGGCCCCCCAGCCTGGGAAAGTGTGGTAATACATTACCTGCAAGATGGAAACCACCACTGCTTTTGATTCTACCTGGAACAGGGGTCTTTCTACTCCGCCTGTAAACATGTGGGCAAAGAGGGAGAACGGTTTAAAAAGCAGCACTGAAGTGCTCAAAGGAGAAGAAGATGCTGTTCGACTGGGCAGAAGTGAGAGGGAAGCAACTATCCAGCTCGGAGGGACACGGGATTTGGTTCAGGGAGCCACACAAACATCTGTTTGAAGCCATGGGAGAAAATGAAGAAAAGTATGCTTTATAATAAATGTCAAGACGATCTTGTATCATTAAGATCTAGCAGGCTGGGAAATATTTTCTTCAGGAAAGCTCTGGACTTAAACAGAGAGTTTCTAGTAGCTAAAGAATAAATACACACATAGAGTAATTAAAATAGTATTAGATTCCCATGCAGAATGTATAAATGAAATAGCAATAGCACTTTTAGAGCAGCAAGTATCATACAGGACAAAAAACTTAGTGAGACAAATCTAAATTGCTGTCCCATAGCCAGCTACAGTCTCTGATCTGTGACTGTCACAGGAAATAATGGGAGAAATTAAATGGGTCAGTATAAACTCAGTAAGAAAGTAGAAGAAACTCAAAATCTGTGACACAAAATGAATATGTTGATCACTTTCTGATGTCCAGCTTCTCTTACAATGTGGAAATAGCTGGTCTGCAGTGCCACAGAGTAAGAAAAGCCTGCTGCACGCTTTCCTGCACCTTTCTAAGCAGATGATCACAATTACAAGTTCTACTTAACAATTAACAATTCTATTTTATTAGCAGTAGCAGCGGCGTTGGCGGCAGCAATAGTTGTTGTGTTACAGTAGCCCTGAGAGTCATGAACCGTACACCCCGGCCTGCCGCACATGGCACGCCACAAGCACACAGTAACAGATGGAAGAGTTTAAAACCTTGATCTTATTTGTTTGTAAAATTTTGATTTGATTTAGAATTTGCTCTGTTCCAGCAAAGATTTATTTGTGTGCTTTTCTTTACCACTGTGAGGAACGTGACTACTCACAATGTGGAAAGCAAAGCACACGCAGGACAAGAATCAGAAAGAAGCGAGAAAGAGAGGGGAGATGGAGAACACCAGCATCCCTGAAGACTCTATTTGCCTTTGCCTCTTTGTAATGCGAGGCTTTATTTACTGCCAGGCCCCTCCACACTCAGAAAACGTGGGTGAAGACCCGGAGCATGCTTAGATCGCCTTAAAGCTTCAGAGATTTAAAAATGGCAACAGGGTTTGGCTTCTTGTTGTTCAGCATCTGGTTTCAGAGCCTTGCAGTGCATTTGGATCACATTTTCAGGCTTTTCCTTGCAACTGGAAGAATTAGAAATTTATTGTTAAAAAAAATGAAAAGTGAGAGAGTCATGTGATCCTGTGCTTCCAGGAGCTGAGACTTGAAGAAAAAGCCCACCCCAGACTCACAATAAAATCATGAGAATTGAAAACACCAGACCTAAGAAGCTCATCCAAGCTTTCTGCTGTGCATATGGAAAAGCAGGGTGTTGTCAGGACTAGTTAGCTAATGTCATAAAGCACTCAGAAGAACAACGTTAGTTATTATTTAGGAGGAAACCAAAGTGTAAAGTGTTTTACATATAAATCTGCCCTTTAGAAGAGCAACATTAAAAACGCAAGATTGAATTCCGGATTACTGAAGGGTAATAAAGAGGTTTTAAACACAGCCATAACTCATCCTGCATGAAAATGACTCAGCAGAGCCTTGACCGAGCTGGAAACAGGACCTCTGGAAGCGATTAGGAGCGGGCTGTCCCCCACCCCTCTGCTGGGGACACAGGGTGTCGGAGCAGCCCGGTGCCGGGGGATACCCCCAGAGCTGGGTGGGCAGAGGGGGCTCTGCACCTCTACGGTCGGCCAGGCCGGGACTCGGGGGGTGGCAGCGGCTCCATCGGCACTGACAGGTAACACTGTGACATACACACTGGGGCCACCACGTGCCCATGTGGCAGCGGTTTTGGGGGTCCCAGACTGGCTGTAGCTTGGCTCCATGGACTGAGCAGCACCCCCAGCACTGGCAGCCCCTTTGGTGCTCCCCTGGAGCCTCTGCCCCTTTCCCTTTGGCCAGAGGGATGCGGTGGGCACAGCCAGAGGGATGCGGTGGGCACGGCCAGGGGGATGCAGTGGGGGCAGAGCTGGGTGCGTGGGACACGACAGACTCCCTCCAGCTCCCGAGCAGAACCAGCCACCGCCATGGCTCACCCTCGGCTCTGAGAGCTGGGAGAAAGCAACACCTCAGCCTTCTGCAAAAAATATTTTGAGCCAACCGTTTTTCAACTTTGTCTGCCTGTAGGTTCATGAAAATATCAGCAACGGGGGTGAAGACTCAGTGAGAGCAAACAGCAGCCTCCTGACAAAAGGTCTGGTTTTCCTTTGCACCTTTTTCAGACTCCTCAGCAGTCCCTGCCTTCCCCAGACACCCCTGGTTTCGGCCGTTCGCCTGGCTCTGCGAGCAGCAGGGCTCTGCTCAGTTTGGTGTCAGCAGAACGATACGCACATGTTGAGATGTTCCTTTCCTGGCGCTGGTGGCCCTGGAGCTGGACCTGTCCTACACACTCCGTAACCGCCGGCCCCTTCCTCCTGCAGACGCAGTGCGAAGGGAGTGCTGTTACTGCCTTAGGAGAGAACTTAAAACAAACAAGCCGCCACCAACTGCAGCTCATGTATATGGTTATGATTTTAAATTGCAAACAGGAGGCTACTTGGCTTTGCATGGTAAGCATTGTCTGGCAGCGGATGGGCTCCTCTGATCTCCCCGAGCTTTGGATTGCTGCTGTGAGATTGTGTCACAACTAGTCATTAATTATTTCATCAAAAGCTTATTTTTCTCATTTCCTCATCATTATTTCCACCTAGTTTCTTATAAATTGAATCCAGCTATTGGCAAGCCTTGTTTCTCCCCTAAGTGGGGTCCGGGCTTTGCAGAGAAAAACATTGGCCTTAGAAGAAATGTATTGTAGATATATATAGTTCATGTGTGCATATGTGTACATACACTGAGGAGAAATTACTGTATATGTGTATAAACATTGCTCTCACCCTCCTTGTCTTCCCATTTACTCTGGAAGCAGATTCTCTTTCTTCCTACCTGTTAATAGATAGAAATATTGTCATCCTCACCATGGGAATGAGTAAGCAAGGAAAAGCAGGAAGGCAGAAGAAGGTGAGTACAGCTATCAGGAGAGTCTGACAGTACCTCCGCCTCCTTGGGAGACACTGATTTTTAAAAAGTGCCACAATATTCCTGGAAAAATGGAGACCCTTCTTGGTAATGCCAGCCCTGATAGACAAAACAGGATAGCACCAATCATGGGAGCTGGGAGTACCAACCCAAAGAAGTCAGGGAGGAGGGAGGCAGCCAAAAGGTCTAGAAGGGAGGTTCAGAAAGCTCTCCTGTCCCCAGCCACCAAGATGCTCCATCCCCTCAGGGAACAAAATCAGCCTCATAAGCACATCGTGAGTGACAAGGCGTGACATGGAGGGTACAGGGCTGCAATGGGCCGGAGGTGAGGGTAATGCCCAGGAGAGGCTCCCCAGGCAGCCCCAGCAACCCCATGGCTTGGCCACTAACCCAGAAGAGCAACAAGGGCTGTCAGACAGAGCTGCTGCTGCCACCCCTCCGCAGCCGGGAGCTGGACCAGCAACACCCGCAGCAATGTGCTCTACCTACGCAAGAGCCGTCTCGGTGAAGAGCCCAGCTGGCTTTGGGAAACTGAGTCTTCTCCTCACAATGTGTTCGGCATGTTGTGCGCAACGCGAGGAGGAATGTCAGCAAGATCCCTTCCCTGCCTGACTCAGCAATGGCGCCGTGATAAGCACGGTTTGTCCTGCAGCTTGTGCTAAAGAACGCAGGACTCACCACAAGGACTCCAACTCTTTCACAACACGAGAGCACAAGAACACAAGAGGAGCCACACTGGGCCAGGCCAAAGGTCCATCTCGCTCCTGTCTCCAACAGTGGGCAAAAGCAAAATGCCTGGGGAAAAGTATGAGCACAGGGTAAGCACATACAATATTTCCCCTGGGTGCTCTCCCAGCTGCCAACCATCTCCAGATTAGAAATTTCTGGAGCCAAGTATGTTTTTATGTACTTGGAGCTCTGTGAGCTGCCCTGGGTTGTGTCCTTCAACAGTCCTTGTGCTTCCCATAATCCTTGTGCTCTCTCAAGACTTATTCTTTCTGTTCTCTTACTTATTTGCCCTCCAGATACTCTTCACCCTCCTCATGCTGGATGGATGCCCCTCCATACCATTCATCTGAATTTTCCACCCTCAGTCTCACGCGCTCCTCCTTTCTTCTCTGTCTTTCAAAGCCCAAAGCTCAAAGTCACCTATTGGGACTGTCCACCACTTGAAAGTTGATACAAACTCTTACAGCTTTTTAGTCCCAGGATACACATATTGTCCCATGTTTCCTCACCCTTACTGGTTCCTTCTGACCCTTCATTTTTGCTGTTCTCTGTCCAGGGCTGGTGCCCCTCTCTGAGGGCTCTGAGGTTGTCTATGCTCCCCCAAAATCTCTGTGGATTATTGGAATTTCCCCACGATTTTTTGGCTTATTTGTAGCAGAGAAATTTGTTGAGAAGTGATGGACCAATTTTCTGTTGCTATCACCTTGTATGACCAAGGTTAGGCCATGGAGTCAGGCCATCCACTCCTGAACTAGGTGGATTAAATGTACATTAGATTTCTGCAAAGTGTGAAAAAGACAAAAGCCTTTCCAGAAATTGCCACTCAAACTTCTTTGGCTGCTGAGAAAGACCCATTAAACCATCTGCAAGCCCTCATTGGCAAAGACCCCGTTCTGAGGGGGCACTACATGTAGTGGCCCAATCTAACTAATTCGGAAGTGACAGTGAGGAGACACGTCCCTGAGACCTGCACCACGTGGCTCCTTCCCAGAAGCAGCAAGTCATTGTCAGAGCTACGACAGTCAGGGGAGGAGTCCGTGTGAGAGATCACAGCTGTCCCTTTTGGGAAGGCGGTGTCCATACTTCATCCTGGACTTCCCCGGCGATGAGTCACCTCTCCGAGAAGGCTGTTCCCAGGAGTGCAGTAGGTTCAAAGAACAGCTCTTGCACCCATGGCGGTGAGTCAAGACTCTGCTCTCTATGCTTTCTGCTGGATTGTCATTCACATTGTCACACAGAGCTCACTGCTGCTCTGCCTGGGGAGCAAAACTACCGGGGCTCCCTTACCAGGGCTGCAGGCTTTGGGACAGCACTTCCTTCTGGGGAAGGTGAACTGATGTGGTGAATCAAAGGAAGGCTGTACTTCCTCTCACCCCTCATTCCTGGTGGAAAGGGAGGAGGTCAGGGAAGGTCATGTCACTCTCTCCTCACCAGCAATCAAAGTGAAGGACTGATCCTCATGGGCTCTGGGCAGACTTTTTCCCCATCCACATGCTCCACAGATACTCATCATAAAGAGTTAATTTCTTGTCTGGCCTCTAATTTCAAAGGTTAAAGTCCGTTGCTCACAGAAATGATGCACTCTGGGCAGGGTTCCTGAATTTCTTGTCTGGCCTCTAATTTCAAAGGTTAAAGTCCGTTGCTCACAGAAATGATGCACTCTGGGCACTCTGGGCACTCAGCACCTCCACGTTCCCCTGTGACACTCAGGTGTAGAGACGGTGTCTGCGTACCTGCAGGGAGCATGTCCCGATGTCCACCAGCCTCCTCACAGCCAGTAAGTGCAGATCATCTCCAGGGCTGCTCCTGTGAGCACCACTGTGGTGCCCTGCCAGAAGATACCTGCATTTAGACAAGCAAATAGTGAGGTGAGCCTTGTCTTGCTGCACATGCAAAGAAAAGAGAGGACGTAGAAAAGCCTGTAGCTTAACCCTGGCTGCCCATCCCAAGGAGCTGGCACAGGAGCCATGGCAGCACTGCTGGTGTCAAGGCTCTGCCAAGTGGCAACGGGAGAAACCCAACATCTTCTAGCCCCGCAGCACATCGTGACTTCAAAAACCACCCCGAGCAGATGATCGGCTGCAAAACGGTCCAAAGATGGAATTAGCTCCTCCACTAGAAGGAGCACACAAAGCACAGAGGAAAGCTATTATCAACATAAACAGAGTCTTATTTTGGCTTTTCCAGTTGCTGGCCATTTGTGTCTGGTGTGAAGTCATTGTCCTGCAACTAACAGCAGGCGCATGCATGCACGACATTATCAAAGCAGAAGGAGATGTTGTCATGCTCCACTGGAATTAGAAATATTGCCAGGAAGAGGAAAGAGTATTTTTAAATATGGTGTTGCTACATCCCGACGTCTCTGCAGAGCAGGAAAATGTTTTAAGAATTCTTACTTAACATCTTTATCAGTGTATAAGCAAAATAAGATTTTTTTATAGCTAAGATTTTCCTGTGCAAAAATTTGGAATAAAAAAGGATAGTTAAAATGCTGCTAATGTAAATATGTAAATCAGCCATTGGTTGGAAAGGTTTCACTCAGCTCAGGGCAAAAAAGCTATTACACCATTACCCTCCACCCATGGTTTTCTTCTACCTGTTCTTTTAAATCATTCATGAGTTTAAAACGATAGTCAATATTTTTAATAGTTGTTATATAAAGACTGTGAGTTCTGAGGGGCAGGGTCCACTTTGTTCCCCTCAACATCTCACAGGAGAAGGTTGTGCCCTGGCTCTGCCCCCAGCCAGCCCCCGGTGCTGCAGCTCAGAGGCAGCCTCAGGGCTGGCACCCGCTGCCCGCAGCCCTGACAAGCTCTGCGCAGAGGACAGGCTGGCAGTGACAGCAAAAATGGGCAGTTTTGTAGCAAACCCAGAGATTGACGCCATGTCTTCTGGAGCAGCAGCACATGATGGAAACACTACACATCCGTGTGACTGCCCGCTGCGCCGGAATGCAGGCACCCATCGCCTCAGTGTGCTGGGCTCCATCTGAAACACGTAAGCACTGATGGCAGCATCCTCTCGCTCTCCCTGTGTCAGAACCAACACCGGGAGGATGGCATGGCTCTGCCTCCCCCCGGGCGTGTCGGAGACTGCGCAGCACCGCGTTCTGCTCAGGAAGACCCAAGCCTCAGCGTGACACAGGTTATGTCCTTATGGAGGTAACATGGCTATACACAGCACATGGATTTAATCTTCAACAATCTGGCCAGTTTAATGGTAATTATTCCCTGTAAGAGCTTTGTACTGAAACAGTCACACCCCTAGACCAGCCCGGCTCGGATGAGCAGTCGATGCTGGCAGCCTGTCTCAGAGGTCCTTTTGGTCACAGACCATTTTCTCTGGGTGCTCACCCTTCTGCTGCTCCATCCAATGCACCCCGGACACCCCTGAGCCCCAGCTCAGAGCTCTCAGCGACCACCAAAGAACAAACACGAGAGCCGTGGCAGAGCCTCTGCCGCGTTTCGATCCCGAACCCAGACTGCAGCTGGGGGAAGAGCTGCTGGAGCCCCCGGGTGCCCCACACCCACCCGTGGGGCTGGGCTGTTGGCACCCCCGCAGCTTCTCCCAGCGCTGGCACCTCTGCTGCACCCAGTTCCGAGTTTTTGACATTAAAGCCCAACTGGGTCTTTCCCTCCCTTTTGCGTGTGCCTCGTGGGCACCAACATGCAGCCGCACGCCTGACGGAGGGGAGCGTAGGGGAGATAAAAATTAGTAAAAAGCTAGAGCTCCTCTAGGAAAAGCACACAGAAACCAGACAGCTAAAGGGACCTCACGATGCCAGTGCTGTTTCTGAGACAACTCATTTGAAAGCAAAAGTGGAATAATATATTTAAACGGAGACAGAATTACACAATTAGGAGGGGCTGGGATACTACCCAGTTGACAGAGTCAGCGATAGAAGAGAGCCTTAACCATGCATCAAGAGAGGAACTGGACACATTTTTGGAAACGGAGCAAACTGAGGCATAAAGCCACTGGCCAAGGTTAAATGAGCTGGAAAAGAACGTGATTTATATGTCCTGGACTGATAAGGGCAGGTCTTGCTGGGCTTTCAGGGCAGACTTTCCCCATTTGTTAGTGTTCCTGCACTGCTTGCGTGTTCAGTTCATATTGACGAGATTAAATGTAACGGCTTTGGAAGTGTGAAGTCATGATTGCTTTGAAACGCTCAATCAATGGGATAAATCCAGATTGCCTTCCCCGAAGCCAGTAGGGAAAGGCTGGACGTAAACCAGTTTGGCAAAAGTCAGTATTCAGCCTTTGATAACACAACATAACACAAGGCTGTTTAGCTTAAGCAAAGGTAGCAATTTGAGCTCTTGAGAATATATTGCTCATATCAGAGAAGGGGTACTCTACTCTTTCTTCCCCTACCATTAAATATTTTCCTGATGCAATATTCAGTGGCAAACAAAGTACATCTGGGCTGAAACGCAAGCGGAGGTTTTGCAGCCCCCATGGGTTCAGCATCTCTGAAAAGTCAGCGCTGTGCAAATGTACAATCTCAACAGGGAAATAAGGATGAAGCATCCTGAAGAGGAGACCAGCTCTTCCCTGGCTCACATCTAAACGTGTCCATGCAAGCACGTGGATCCTGTCCACCAACACCACCTTCTACGTGGAAACTGAAATCCTTGAATCAAGGGGAGGGAGGAGGCGTATGGGGGGTGTCTTCCCTCCACACTTGGTAACAAGAATGAAAAGTTACGTCAGGCTTTCTCAGAAGCTAATCTGTGGCTTTCAGGCCAACGTGGGTTGTTGCCAATGACAATCTGCTTTCTGCCCCATCAGGTCACAGAGATCAGGTGGGGGCAGAGGGAGTGCATGTATCAGCCCAATGAGACACAGATGAGCTCTCTGTCCCCTGCCTCCTTCCCCTTCAGCTGGCGTCTCTCTGTCCTGAGCCTGGGGGGGAAGTAACCCTTTGAAAAACAAACTCCAGATGTACTCACGGCCGGCTGCTGGCCACCCCTGGCAGCTGTGGTGCTTCCTGGACAGCCAGGAGAGGAGAGGACTGTGTGACACGCGGGGTGATTGCGGGAGGCCAGACAGACAAGATAGCGCTGTGACAGCCCTGCTGATAGCGCATCGATCTCCCCGCCGCCGCAGGGCAGGGCTCAGGCACCCACTCTCTCCTCCTGGATCACTGTCCTGATGTGCAGACGCTTACAAAAGGTCTAAGGACAGAGGCCACCACAGTGGAGGCCACTCGGGAGCCTGCTGGGGAGGTGGGTGGCATTGGAATGGCCAGCCTTGCTCCAGGGGGGTGCTGTGGGCTCCCTCGGGCTGAGAGTCCTCCCTGCTGGGTGGGCTGCTCTGCAGAACCCACTGAGATGGACGCAGGAGCTGTTCTGCCAGAAGGCAGCATCAGACAAGAGGCACCTACTGACACAAAATGTTGTGTAGCATGTAAGATCTGCATCCTGGCTCCTGGAGTCACAAAAGAGGAGATAGGCGAGAGCTGCACAGGATGAATCTCACCTCCTCAGCCCGGGAGCCTGGCCATGCTGCCAGCACACTGGGGCAGGAGGTCCACCTACAGCTGCCGGTTAGCTCTGGGGCTCTCCAAGGACATTCTGGCCATCAGACTTGCACAGCATAATCTTTCCCAGTCTCTCCCCAAAGCCTGAGAGACTTTGGCCTGATTGGGCTTTGGATCAAGCCCAGAAGGTATGAGGGCTCCAGCAGAAGATGGCTGGGACTAAAGCTGCTCAAACAACCCTAAAGCCAAGCTGATAAAGGAACTTTTATGACATAGTCCCCATTCTATAAATGAAGCAAGAGACAAGAGGAGATAACAGATTAGAGAAGATAAACCCTCTACCGTCCTCCACCAGTCCATGATACTGATCATACCAACCTCCAACTGGCTTCAGCCCAAGGTGCTCAGGCCCTGCAGGGCTGAGGCCTCAGGTACAGCATCTGGAGAAGCATCACAAACTGAATATCCATCTCCTGCTTGTGGCCACCATTCCTGAATTATAAACACAACTTCCCTCCCAATGAAACACTGAGCAGATAATGACAGCCTTAAACAAAACTGTTGCAATAAACCTCTGAAGTACAACAGTTTGCAATCTGGTACTGTGAGCAGAGAGAGGAAAGCGAGACCGTGCGGTGTCCTGAAGGCACATGGACAGGTAATGGCTGCAGAAACCTCAGAAGCAAAAACTGCTACCACCACCCAGGATTAGACTCTGATGCTAACGATCATAGAATCATAGGATTGCCTAGGTTGGAAGGGACCTTTAAGATTATCCAGTCCAAACATCAACCTAACTGATAAAAACCATCACTAAACCAAGTCACCAAGCACCCTGTCAACCCGTCTTTTAAATACCTCCAGGGATGGTGCCTCTACCACTTCCCTGGGCAGCCCATAATGTAGAATCACAACTGCATTAGCAGAATCGCACGACTGTACCACAGAACTCAGCTCAAGAAGCAGTTTGTAACTAACAGTGCATGCTGACAGCAAACTGACCGAGTCCTCTCATCTTCATGACTCTGGCCCACGCAGTGACCCAGCTAAGCCAGGTGAGCACTGGCTGCGCTCCCAGCTGGGCAGGTCTTTGGCACCTGACTGAAGACATTCTGCATTTCCTGACTTGTTCTTACTTTCCATACATCTTGGAAGAGACACCTATATATAATAAGGTACATTTCCCTCTCTATCTTAAAACAAAAGCAACCAAACACAAAGTGGCTTCTGGCCAGGACTTTCTTCAAAACATCTGCTCTGCAGCTCCTTCAGGCTCCGTGCCCTGTGAAACCAGATTTTAATGAAAAAGGAAGGGAAGAGGAAGCAAAATCACCTGTGGCTTTGCTTCTGAAGAACT